CCCCATGTCTTCTATGTGCAGCTGCAAGAACTGCCTCACTTGTTTGAAAACTGGATCTGACGAGGTTCAGTTGATAGCGCTTGGCCTTTAAACTAGAAGAGATGGTAACTAGTCAATTCTTGATCATGCTCTCCATGGCATGCATATTTGTATAGACCTTTAACAGATTCCCTCAGTGTCATCTTTTTTCCAGGCCAAAGTCCTCACCTGTTCCATTATTTCTTGTGTGGAAGCCATTCCCTAGTTTTTATCATCGTTGTTGCTCTGATGCTTTTTCAGGAGCACTTATAAATTGAACAAACAATAGCGACAATGAAAAAAAACAACAAATGTGTGCTGTGTATTTGTGCAAGTGACAAGTAGAGGAGGGAGAGGGATCCCTTTGGAAATGCTTTCTAATAGTTGTAGTGAAAGGCACGAAGTAATTTTTAAAGGAAATTTAGGATTAGCATTACCAGTTATTGACAAATAGTACTTTAGAGCTTCTAAGTGAAGGAAAAACTGCTGTAAAGCTGCAGGGGTAGAAACATCCCCTCAAGCTATGTAATCCATTTGGTTTTCAGCACAGTCAGCCCTATGCTTCTGGAAGATACAGAAAATATAAAGACTTCTTTTTTTAATTGCTCTCTAATGATTACAGACCCAGGATAATACTCCTGCCAAGAGCTCAAGTTTCTCTTTTAGATTAAAGGTCTACTGAGTGATTATTGATATCTAAGATACCTTGATGCAACTTGCTGAGGTGCCTTTGGGAGTGGTGCAGGCATAGCACTCGGAGGTGGTGAGAGTGTGTGTGCAAGAGGTTGCTGGTCATTCTGACTCTAATTTTTATTAATTCTTTTGGTGTGTCAATTCTGTGGCAGAATTTCTGTGTGCACAGCCATCCTTTCTGTTATTATGCTCACCTATCCCTGGCAATAGGCCTTGAATCAATGTTCTCAGATAGAATTTTGCACAGCTGTTCTTCTGAAAGGTCCACCTCCTTCCTAAACAGTAAATGTTTGGCACTTTCTGAAACGGGGCACCTTCAAAGTATTTCAAATCAGGCACCTGAAATGACCAGTCATGTCTGGAAAACCTGAGCTCTGAGCTCTGCATGTCTCCCCATGGAAAGGTCAGATCTTGCCATAGTCAGCTGAAGTTGCTGGGAGAGGGCAGGTTTTGCAAAGACAAAGCATACTCAGTAGCTGAGCTACAGTGCTTCTGAGTGAGATGCCTGGCTGGCAGGGATGCTTGACGCTCCTTTCTTGCCCATCGATTGAACAGAGAGGCATTGAAGTTCTGGCATTGATATGACAGACACGCAAGCGGCTGGGTGACTCTTGATGCTGCATTTCTCCATTGCCCTTTCACCTGCCTTTTAGAGCTGCTTTCCATGACATTTATCACGGCCCTGGAGCCTTCTGGGCACTCTGGTGTAAAGGAAGCACTGAGATTGGGTGTCTCTTGGTCCCTGAGTCCTGTATGATCTCTTGCTGCATGATCTTGAGTCTAATAGCCTGGCTGCACCATCCCCTGCTGCCACTACTTTCTCCCGTGCACCTTCTGTCTCCCAGACGGGGCCTGGGAGATGGGTAAGCCAGGGGAAGTGTTGGGAGCTGCCTGGATGTTGTTTGGCTTGCTCTTAGCTCAGAAGGCTGGTGACAATGGCCCTCATCTGTAGGGGATAAGGATCAGGGAATGCTTCCTCCTTATCACTGGGGATTTACTGCCTTTTGGAAAAAAAACAGATGCAGAAACCTATCATTTCTTATTAATTTTAAAGTAGCTCTTGGCTCTCTACCTACTCCATATCAGCCCTTGCGTTGTCAGTAAATTATATTGGATTTGCAATTAAAAGCCAGCTGTGCCAGTGAAGTACCAGCCAAATGCCACCATAACTGTCTCCTGGATGTCCTAGGGGAGGTGTGGAGCACACAGCTCCTCCTCCTGTGAGCTCTTCTCTCACTTCAAGGGGGAAAGATAAGAGTTTAAAATGGGATCTCAGGCGCGTTATTTTTGTTAATCAGAACGCTTACTCGCTAAGAAATGCAGTTCTTTTCTTGATACTGCATGTTTGTGGATACAGAAATTCCCAGAGCTTGAAAACTGCCAAACGCCCTTCACCATGCAAAAAGTTAACGATTTGAGGGGAAAAATTGTAGTGGTGGATGTCTGTCTTGGGCTACTTGTTTTTCTCCTTCCCTTTCTCAATTAAAATGATTTATTGGAGAAGAATCTGCTTCTGCTCTTTGGGGTTTTTTAAGTGTTGAAAAGCATTTGTGCCCATCTGTGTTGGAGCAGGACTTTGCGGCCAGGCAGGGGGAAGAGCACTGTGGATGTGCTGCTCCCTCCCCTCTGGAGATCCATCCTGTTCAAACAGCTTCTGAGCTTTTGTGTCTCACCTCTTGGAGGCTGAACAGCTACTCACTGCAAGTGGTAGCAAAACCCCAGCTGTTTTGTTCCTTCCATGCTGGGGCTGGGCAGGGCTCTTTCTGCACTGGCTTCTTTTGTCCCTCAGCTGCTTGGGCTCCTGGAGCCAGAATGGGAAACAAGGAGCTCTTTGGCTCTTGCCTCTCTCACCTTTGGCTGGATCAGGAAGGTGCAGCAATCCAGTGCGAGAGGAAATAGGAGAGGAGGAATGTGGAAAGTGGGTCTCTTCCAAACCTGGAGCCAAACTCCAGGTTGTAGAGTTACAGGCGAGGTCCCAAAAACCATTGTCAAGGGAAGAAAGAAGCCCACGTTAATGCTGGCCATGAGGGTGGTGGGATTTGACATCTACCAAAAGGCTGCATGTATCAGGGTGCAGAGATCTGCACCGTGGGTCTCCAAGGTTGTGATCTTGCCAGCGAGCTTTGGAAGGGTCAAAGCGTGTCTCTGATAAAATGATGTTTTTCAACTGGGTAGTTGGAAAACTCCTCAAAGAATTCCTATGTAAAAACCAGCACTGCATTCAAAGCCTGCAAAACAAGGTTGTGCACTCAGCTGAGAAATACCTGAATGGGTGTTGTGTGTGCAACTTTTAATTCCTATTGCTACACATTTGCATTGTGGTACAATTTTGTGTCATTGTGTGCGGGGTATCTGTATGCTGTAGCAAGGCTACATGTGCATACAAAAATTGTATTATGAGCTGTCTTTAGGTGTGCAATAAAGATCTTACCCTTCCTGCTGCTTTAAAAACAGTTCACTTCAAAGGCTGTAGTATTTGCTTTGTCCTTTGGCCTTTATGGGGTGAGAGAAGAGGCTGTCTGCACCTTAGATGTGTTAGTTGTCTCTAGCAGTATCTTTCCCCAGGATGAAGAGATTGGTACAGTAAACAGTGGGGGAGTGTTTGCCTCTGTTGTTCCTCTCCCTCTTCATTTTGAACGTACTAGCTTTCCCTGTCCTCCCCTTAAATCACATTATTTCATGAAGAGTAAAAAGAAACATAATTTGGAGCAGCAGCGAGCTGAGCCCAAGTTAATAGTTTGAATTGCACTCCATCTGTTCAGCTGCATGGCCTGATGGATGTGCTGAACCCATTTTTCACAATTTGTTTTAAGCTGGTAAGAACCGTCTCTCCTGGCTCCAGTCCAGGCTGGCTGTGGAGAAGAACTTTATATCTGGACATCCATGTCCAGAGGGCAGGACTGAGCCAGTAATCCCCAGATGCCAGGTTACCTTTTCAGCCTGCAAGCTGCTGGTTTTTGAAAGGTTAAATTCTTCTCTGGGCTTGAACATTGTTGTCAAAAATTAGAGAGGGGTGAAAGAAGCCCAAAGTGCACAGGCACACAGAGGATGAAATTTGCAAACGTGATTATGCAGGACCTGCTTTAAATCGGCTTATTGCTGTTTTATGATGGCAGGCAAGCAGTCACAGAAGCCAGGGTGATTGGCCTTGCCATGTGCACATGATGCTGGTAACTCAATAACCGATGAACACCCACAGTGGTCTCCAGACCTCAAGCCTTTGATGTAGCAACAAACAAGATAGATTGCTGTAATTTATCTGGCCCCTGGAGGGCTGTGCTGGTAATGTGCCATGAGCCCAAGGGCCAGCCATCCATAATCTGTGTAAAAATACAGCAGATCGCAGTCGCTGTGCTGCAGGATTGTCTTTGTTCCGTCCTGCACAAGTTTGCGTGTGTACAGTGCATGGTACTGGGTCTTGATTTCCAGCAGCCAGGGGCGGTAAGTCTTAGTGTAATATGCCCACTCCCTCCATTAACTGTAATTGTTTTTGTTATGTACTCAATATACTCCTTCCATATAGACTTGGGAAGGCAGTGCTGGAAACATGGTATTTCCCTATATGCCTTTACAAGCGTAACAGAGAGTGGAGGTGTGCTGGCTTTAGGGAAAAAAGAATGGTATTTTGTACCCGCTGGAGTCTCCAGCAGGTTTGCTGATGGAGGACAAGTGCTTGTGGCATTGCAATAGGGTGGCCTGGAAACCGCAGGAGAAGGGAGTGTGGCCTCCTGCCTTGCATGTGGGTCTCTCTCCTGGTGGAAGACAGTCCTGGTTGGGCTGTGCCAGGAGAAGAGGGAGTTGTTGCCGGAGCAGGGAGCCCCACAGCAGCTCCCTGGCTGCCTGTGTGCACTGGGGTGCTGCAGAGTGGCTGCGTGCCACCTCCTAGTGTCCTCCAGCAGCGACCCTTGCCTGGATTGCAGGGTGGTGGGGTTGGAAAATAACAGTAGTACTGAAGACAAAGCCCTGTCACCTTGAGTTGCTGGTTTGTTGCCATGCAGTGTAGTACGTTTCTGTGCCTGTATTCTTATCACTACCAAAGAAGGGTTTTATGTTACCTCAACACTGCTTTTTTCATGGGGCATTTCAAAAAACACTTCCCTTGAGTCAGCAAGAAAGCTGCAGTGTGACTGGGGGAGTGCTGTGCCAGAGCCCGATGTGCCAGCTTTAAAATTGGGTGTGAGGGCTTGTCTTGCCGAGCACAGCCATGGAGTGGGTAGGACGGGTACATCTCGGGGGAGGCGCTGGGGCTGGCTGTCGGGAAGTAACACTGGGCTCCTCTCCTCCTGCAGGCATGGCCTTGGCCCAGCGGCAAGTGGCGGTGCAGGAAGGACCCCTCTACCGCACGGAGGGGTCCCATGTCACGCTGTGGTGCAAGGTGAGCGGCTACCAGGGCCCAGCGGAGCAGAACTTCCAGTGGTCCATCTACCTGCCCTCGGCTCCTGAGCGGGAGGTGCAGATCGTCAGCACCGTCGACCCCTCCTTCCCCTACGCCATCTACACCCAGCGTGTGCGCAGCCGTGGGATCTACGTGGAGCGGGTGCAGGGGGACGCTGTTCTGCTGCACATCACCGAGCTGCAGGACCGGGATGCCGGGGAGTACGAGTGCCACACACCCAACACCGACGAGAGGTACTTTGGGAGTTACAGCGCCAAGATGAACCTCGTGGGTAAGCCGTCCTGCTAACGGTGTGGCTGTGGTGACAAGGAGTCTCCCAAATGGAGCGTGGCACAAACCCTTGAACCACCCATGAGCACAGTAGTCCATATAAGCTGTCAGGAAAAACACCGCTGAGGGAGAATAGGAGCAGAGAGCACATAGTGGTGTGAATTGAAGGAAATTACCATATAGAGACGTAGGAGTTACCAAGCTTTCTCTAGTAATAAGGCCCTTGTAAAGAAGAGACACCAGGCAGCATAGCCAGAGAGAGAAACATTTGAAGCTGTGCCTGAAAGCAAGAGGGACATGGAACTGATTTACTCGGAGAGAGAGGGGGAGGGAGGCTGCTCCAGATGGCACAAGCTACAGAGGAGAGAGCTGTGTGCCAAAGGTGGTGAACTAGCTGAGTGGGGAAGAGCAGAGCAGTAACAAGCAGCCTGTAAAGGGAACAGGAGGACAGTCATCTTCAGGCTGTAACGGTGGGCAGTGCTGAATGGGTCCTGAAACCAGCACACTGATCACATCAAGCTGTCTGTAGATGAATGTGGGGGAGTTGGTTCAAAAACAGGTTCTTTAGAATTTGGAGTATTTCCACGGCACACCTCTGGCTAGCTTGTTTAACTATTTCGAGATTCAGCTTGCTTTCTGTATCTCAAAATGGGATTGGGTTTGAAGTCTCTAACTTGGCTAAAGAGCAGTCAAATAGCTTCCATCAAACTCTTTGGCTGAAGGACTCCTAAAAGAGCTCCTCCTCAGCAGAGACACCCCTCTAGCAAATTTAAGCCTGCAGACAGCAGGCTCACTTTTCTTAGGAGACATTCATGAGCCAGCAAGTCTCTGGTTTGGAAACCACTTTGGCGTTATCCAAGACGTGCTAGCCAGTCAGGGTGTTGCCGGCTCAGGCTGTGTTGACATGGGGAAACCCATTGTGAAAGGAGCCAAGGTGTGAACTCAAATCACAAAAGCCCTCCTTTTGGGTTGTGCTTCTTGCCTCCAGCTTGTGTGCACCTTGGCTCCTTCCCATCAGGGGTGCCAACCCAGCCACTCTCCCAGGTGAAGCCCCGTGGCCTGGGTCCAAACTCTTATTTAGGTGCTTGCTTTCCCATCTGATGTCTGTGAGCCGTCAGGAGGTAGATGTCTGAATGCTATTTTCTGCCTTTTTTTGTAGTTCCGTGATTTGCTTCAGGATTGTGGTTCCCCCTTTAGTTTGAACAAGACTGAGTCAGCATTGCCACTGTAAAGTCACCTCCGGGAGTAATGCCCATTGAAAACCAACACCCGGTGAAAGAAAGTGCCTGGGGGCAGGGTGCGGTTGTGGCAGTCAGTTTGCAGCTGGGTTGCTCTGCCAGGGAGCTGCACCCTGTGGAAACCAGCCAAAACCCCACGAGCTGGGGTCCTTACAGGAGAGCCCTTAGAGCAAGTGTGAGCCCCTGCATTAGCTGCTGGCACGGGGTGAGCAGAGCCAGCCTATCTGATGGCAAGGCAGCGGGGTGAGCATAGCCAGCCTATCTGATGGCAAGGCAGCGGGGTGAGCATAGCCAGCCTATCTGATGGCAAGGCAGCGAGGAGCTCCACCGCTGCTCTCCCTGGGGCTGGGGAACCAGTGCCTGCCAGGTTTTAACTGCAGCTCAGCAGCTGCTTCAGAGGTTAGCCCAGGGTTTGCGGGGTTGATATGCTTTTGCTCTGTCCTACCCTGGCCACAGGGACAAGCCGTGTAAGGTTTGGGACTCTATAGACACCTATGAATCATCTTTGAAGACATTGGCTTCTGGGCTTGTGTGTTGGGATGCCATAGAAAATTGACCTGAAGTACCTTCTAGTGGATGAGTTAAATCACACTGTGCCCCTTCATGGATGCTTGTGCTCAGAATTTGGGGCCCTAATTTGGTATATCTTAATTTCTGAAAAATCACTTCAGAAGTGACTTAGGGTCACTTGCATTTTGAAAGTGTGTATCTGCAGGTTTCCTCTGTGTTTTAACTAAACTCTGACAGAAACTGAATTTTCCAGAGTGCTCCTTGTGATGACCTGTAGACAAGAAGCCCTTAGAGAGGGCCTCCCCTCTGACTCCTGTTTATGTGAACAGACCCATCGGACCCTGAAGTCCTGCCAGGGAAACGGGCTTCTCTCTGCAGGGCTGAGCAAACCACATGCCTTTTTTTTTCCCCTGTCATTTTAGCTTGCAGCTACAGGTTGTGGATTTTCAGTCTGGCTTTGTTGCTGCAGACAACATGCGAGAAGAGGTACACAAGAGCTAAATGAGAGTTATTGTTCTCATTTCCTCAGAAACAGAACCAAACTTTTTTTTTTTTCTTTCTTTCATCCAGTTATGAATTTTTAATTGACTCATTAGATTGAGTGGCTCTTTTTTGGCAGCAGCAAAGCCTGGAGGGAGACAGGTTTGTTAGCATCTCTATGCTCTACGTTTTTGTATGAAATGGATGGGTTTGGAGCAGTGTTGATTTTAGACTTGCTACTCTGGCAGCTTTGAGTTGTTGTGTCCTGTGGTTTGAGGGAAGAGCTGGAGAAAGTCTCCCCTTTTCACCCAGGTGATACAGCCCTGTGTTGGGGAAGCTGCATGGCACACTGGTACAGCAGCATATGGGGCTGTTCTCTGCACCGGGACATTGCAGCTTACAGCAGAGCAGCTGGAATGTGTCTTTGCTCCTGCCATCTGAAAAGTATTGAGGCATATGTATCCAGGGCTCTGCAGCTGCTAAAAAATAGTCTTGTCAGATTCAAAGATGTGCCAGTTGGGCTTGAAGTGCCCTTCTGTCCACCTCATGAACAGCAAGTATGATTGGTTGTCCCTCTCACATTTTTGGTGTCTCCACTCAAGGTTCCTTTTAATTCATTGAGATCTTGGCCAGGATCTGGTACCACTCTGAGGACCTGAAGTCTCTAATGGTCTGGAGCAAGAAATGCTCTCCAAGCACTCTGTGGGACTCTTGGGCATGCAGTGCAAGTGGTCATCTCCCTGAAGCTAGGAATGGGGTCAGTGATGTGGTTCGAGGGCCTTCTGCTGTGGGGAAATGTGTATCGAGGCTTAACCTTTTTTCACTGCTCTTCAATTTACTTCAGTTGCTTCAAAAATAAGTCTTTCTGTATCTTGCTACCCATCTTCTCATCTCCTCCTGAGCTACATCATTGGGAAGGAGTTACACCTGGGCTGTGAGATGTGTTAGGAGGAAGAATTTAGGACATCTCAAACTGAGTTGCAGAGGCTGGGGGAGGTAGCAAAAAAAAAAACGGGTGCAGCTCTTCAGGATGTTGTGGAACCATGGCCTTGTGATTGATTTATGAGAAAGGATTAGCCCATGTACAAAGTCTGCAACTCCATTATTTGCCTTCAGAATTCAGTTCCCCAAGACTGACTGACACAAAATTGCTTAGGCTAGTTCATTCTCTCTTACTCAGCATGGAGTGAAAAGATTTTTTAGGAGATGGGATGAGTGGCCTCCCACTCATCTAACAGCAGACACATTGCCTAAGATATATTTTGAGGCAGTATCTGGCACAGGAGGACAGAGAGGGACAGATCTGGAGCGCAACCCATCTTTGTTTAAGTGCATCCTTCTCTAGGTTGACTAAAGAGAGAGCTAGACTTGGTTAGGCAGCTGATGTTGAGTGAAATGAATTCTTCCAGTAGTGACTGAAGACTTGGCTGCTTTTGGAAGCTTCTCCCCTGGGGTTCCTAAGGCAACTGATGGAAATTTTGGCTTTGTAGTTGAATTGGGAAGACACTTGGGCACACTGAAGAGGGGAGTTGCATAACTCTATCGATTAAATGGGGGATCTGGGGATCATCCATACCTGACTGGCAATTGTATCCTGGCCTGCTTGTTGCTGGCTGTGAGAAGTATGTATGCGGGCTGGTCCTTCACTTTTTGAAGAAATTAAGGACAGCGATGAATTTACAGGTGAAGGAAAGCAGCATCCCAGTAACATAGCATCCCCACTGGCAGGACAGCATTATTTTCCAGATTGTCATTGGAATTATCCCTGTCTTAATAACTCTTGAAATGCGGGCAGAAGAGGAGGTTTCTGTGCAGTAATTTAGATAGTAAAGCTCCGGGGGTGCTGTGCAATCTGAGAAACTGGTTTGTGCTTCTCATCTTGTGTTGATGGGTAAATAAACTTCTGTTTTGCTGTGGGGTAGACGTGAGTACATGGCAGTTACTTCACAGTGTGTGAGTCACTGCAAATTTGTACTCCACTATATCTCTGCAATGAGTTGTTTGTGTGCCTGTACCCTTACATAGATAACACCAAAGAGGCCTGAGTCTAACCTCCTCAGAAGCTTCAGACTTTTATCTCAAGTGGGTTTTTTTTTATCTGTGCTCCCAAAAACGTTGAGCTCTTTCAGAGTAAGTGATTTGAGGGAAGAAATAGAGCTTTGAGGTTTTTCTTAAACAGGTAGTGACAGAGCAAGAGAAGGGTTTCAAAGCATTTGGGGAGGTTGCAGCTCTTGTACTCCCTATTTGGGGGGTGGCAGCTGTACAGCATTAATCCTAAATGAGTTAAAGCAAAAAAAGGAAAGGGGTTTGAACAGGGGAAGAGACCATGGCCTCCACGGATACCAGAGTGGGAACGAGCAATTTTGGTGCAGACTTGAGAAACAAGTAGCACTCAGACACAGCTGTCTTTGTGGCCGGTGGGACCTGCTATGAAGCTGGTAGTGCCTGCTGGGATGGTCGCTAGTGTCTCCTGCCTGTCAGGCTCAGGTGAAAGGGGGGCAGAGAGCATTTGTGCTTGCTGGGTGCTATTCAGTGTCCTGACCACCTTCTCAGCCCAGCCACACTTCTGCTCTCTGCTACTTCTCACTGGTCTCACCCTGCTTGGGTAGGCTGGTGCCTTCATCTCTGCCCTATTACCCTGGGTCCTGCCTGGCTGTGATGGCTCCCAGGGGCTGGGTGTGTTTTTTTGGCTGGCAGCCCCATTGTGGTGAAGTTTCAGCATTGTGCCAGGCTTTGGAGTGGTGGTGGACAAGAGCACTGGTGGGCTGAAGAC